AAATTTTGAGTACAAGTTTATTAGTCTCTAAAATCTCAAGATTCCATCTTGACTTTTACCTTTGCAAATGTGAATCTGCTAATTTTGTCCTATACTGTTTTTCAGTAGCTACCTGAAGACTGTAGCTGGCACTTTTATTCCATTATGCACTGGTATCCACTTCACTATAAGAACCTGAACATTTTCCCATACTGGTAGCAATCATTAATTCCAAATGGCATCAGACTGCATATTTCAAAATCTATATTGGTACCATCTACTATCATACCCTTAAGTCTGTTACTTATTTAAGGCTTATGAAGCCTTGTTAAACAGTTCCTTTTGAGTGAATCACTTTGACAATATCACGCATGAGATGAAATCAAAGTAAAAAGTGAACGTTCATATTGAACTAGTTAGGTTTGAAGCCAATTTTGAAACTACAATCTGCCCTGTAACAAGTATTTATTGACTTCTCTCAGTATAAAAGGCTCAAAAATGCATCATTGACATAATACCTCTTGGAATAAGACAGCATCTGTAATCCCTGTGGTACACGACTGTTTACTTCTCTACAATTAGTAGATGCCTCCAAGCTACATCATTAATGTGAACATTGCACTGAGGATGCACCTGCAACTCATCAACTTGAAAATGAGAAGTTTTTTGCTTTTACAATATCTGTATATCTGCTGCTGAAGGGGCAGCACAGCACTCCTGCACCCTGGAGTCCTCTCAGCCACAGGGTTCAAGGACATACATTCCTCTGAAGAACACGGGGTGGCATGATGTGGATGTGCATAAGGACTGAACATCTTTAAGACCTCCCACCACACCTTTTTTTCCTTTTGAGTAATATCCATGCACCTGTTCCACTACAGTCTCTCCCATAGCAGTGGCCACACAAGACAGTCAGAGCTACAAAGTCCCAAGAGAATAGAGACTGAAAAATCTAAATTCTCAACTACAGTATTTGAGTATTTGACATTGCAGTTGCCCGCCTAGTTTCACTAGGAGGCCAACAGAGGACACTTTTGCTTTTGGGGGAGAAACAAACTGGAGACGGAAAAGTAGAAAGGGATTAGCAGAAAAAAGGGGACTGGCATCTATATCCAGGTCCTCCTCCCTTATGTAAGAAGAAATGACGATGGAATGTGCCAGACCCTGCCTATTTTCAGTGAGTCAACTCTGCTTCATCTTCCTCTCCAGAGATAAGGGAAGCGGGTTTTGTAACAATTCCAACTTTGACATTTTGGTCTTAAATCAGCAAGATATTTAAACACCTGCTTTGTGAACAGAATTATGCTGCTCATTCCCCAGAACTTTGACTTGAAATGTAAGAACCTCTTTCCTAACAAGAAAACCTTTAAAGATACATAATATTCAGGAAAGTGGCAGGATTCATGAACAAAATCTAAATTCCCTACTGCTGCAGTAAATATCTGATTGGTACAGACTGCACAGTTTGGTGTATGCAACACTGGTGATTTAACATGACTGCAAGGGAAGAGCCTACCTTGCTGCTGTGCTCATGCCAGCAGGTATAAAACCATCCCTTTCTGTTCTGGTCAAGGAATTCAGATGTGTAAACGTCAGACAGAGTCTACTTTAGAGAACAAGTCTCTCACTAGGTCCAATTAAACCTTATTCCTTTTCTTTATTTTGATGTAAACACGTTTTACTCTCGCTTCGTGTTCCAATGGTGTTTTGAAGTGAAGGCAGTAATCTAAAAACACCACTTGTAATATTTCTTATGCCACGCTGAGAAAGATGAAAACTCTTAAGTTCTTGAAGCCATCTCTCCAATATAATTAATAAACCTATTCTGGCCAGGACAGCAAGATTTAATCTCCACCTAGCAAAGGTCAGTCCACAGCAGGTGGGGAATGGAGATAAGGAGACAGTGCTGCCTACTGCCGAGGGAGTTTGTGAGAGAAAATAGCTGGAAACAAGTAAGGAATCATAAAATATAAATCCGTCCTTGGAGTGCAAAAATATGAATGGAAAAAAAAAGTATAATCCCTCTAATAGGCACAGTTCTTGCCAAATATCTGCAATTTTGGATGGCTGCAAAAGTCTGCAATTTGGGTGGGAACAAAAAGCATGGATAACCTTGATGCCCATGCTGAGCTCAATCTATCCCATCTGCATGATTTTCACCAAACAAATCCATCATCCTCCCTGCCAGAGCACGCTGCTGCACCATGCTCAGAAGCACAGTGGATAGCCAAGATGAGTTATTAAGATAGAGGCTTCCAGGTTTGGGGTTTTTTTTTGTTTGTTTGGTTGCTTTTTTCCCACATTATGGAAAATTTAGGATCTCTCTTCACTCTTAGGCTGGAAGAGGAGGCTGCTGTAAGCCCCTCTGCAGAGACGCAAGGGATATCCACATGACATGTCCCCTGAGAACCAAAACCATAAACTGCAATAACTGAAAGTGCAGGAAGCATCTACAGCTAACAATGAGGGATCTGCAGTCAGCAAACACGTCAGTTTTGTTGTTTCTCTGGATCTATGAATAAGGAAGATCGAGACACTTTTTTTTCCACTGATAGGCTGCTTTCTTCCCTGTGCATCTGCCAACTGGAAGGCATCCAGTGAATATCAAGACTTTTTTGAGCAGCATTAAGTTAAAGAGGGAGAAGCCAAAGCCACATCAACAGAAAAACTAGGTACTGAATTTTTGTACATTCTCCTTAAAAAATCCCAGTATGAAACTGATTCCAGAAAGATTAAGAAATTGCAGGGAAAGACCTCAACATGATACAAGACTATATATTTGATGTACTACCCCCCCACCAGCACGTTTCAGATTGCAACGTGCTATAGATTTGAAATATATGAATGGAAAAAACAAAAAAACCAAACTGAAATAAACAACTGTTGCTCTATTATATTAGTACAACCCTACAAATCTTACTGACTCTAAAGACACTGGACAAGTGAATAGAATTCAGTAATGAGAAGCAATCAAATAAAATATCTAGCTTTTCACTTATTTAAGTGAAATGACCCCTTCAGTACATTCAAAGCAAAACGTAACTATAAAAGAAGACACACTTTCAATGACAACCCAGTAGTACTTAAATACCATAATGAACATCATAGTCAAATTTCAAGATGACTTAGAACAGCCTGGACTCCCAAGTCATAGACACCAACTTTCAGAACACAACCAGAGGGAGAAAGTTGTGGAAGAACGTAAGCGTTTCTCACCAGGAAACTTATGCTAAATTAATAATCTGCTCCCATTAAGTCAAAGTTTTTTGCTTCTAACTTGAATAGAAATGTGATTAAAAGGACTACATAGAAAGAATAGATGAAATCCTGATTAAAACTTGTTTTACTCAAACCTCTTTGCAGTAAAAAAACCCTTCAAACCAGAAAATAAACGTTCTCACAGTACACTGTCTTCAAAAGAGAATATGAAAAATAAATTTATAGAAACCCCATCACTGTATTATGTAAGTGCTCTGGATGGCACTATAGACTATGAATGCAACTCCATTAATTTTATAAAAAATTTAAATTTGTTTTAAACCACTTATTTTTTTCAGGTATAAAATCTAAATCTGCTGAATTTATTACTTTAAAAAAAAATCTTAAAATGGCTATCAGTTATTTAGACTGACTTTTTTGATGTTAAACTTCCTAGATCAGTCAAATAACTTACTCAAGTTGTCATATGCTACCATGGTGTCAAATTCTGCCCTAAAATCTGTACAGGCATATGTCTAAAAAATTGAACCGCTAAGACTGAGAGTCTGAAACCTGGATTGGAAGATAGTATGCTCGCAGCCTCAATTAATTGCCCAGAATATGTGTATGTGACTGTAGATCCCTCTGTGTCAAGTTGTTTTTATTTTTTTTTTGAGGGGTATAAGTCCAGGTAAGGAATGATTAGCATGTAATTAGCTGAAAAGCCACAGGTATTCAGGCAATCTAGTATGTGTGAATTATTGCCAGCCCTTAGCTAAAATAGCTTGTACAGAAGCCTGTGTGCTGCAGATACGTAACCAACAGGAAAGGGCTGTTTGATTGCATGAATTTTACACGCCTTCCAGTTCCTAACTGATCTGAACGCTACGTCTGGTGCTCAGGGCATCTTGCATAAAAGAGGATCCATAGAAAAAAAAGCATTTTGCTCATTTATCTACATAGTTTTACACATTTGGTAGTTTACCAAACAATTATATTCTTCATTAATTAATCATGCCAGACCATGGTATATTCACCATGTCTATAAGCAGGTGCATTTTTATTACCTCTACAGTCGGGAATAAACCCTGTAGCTGGCCTGTGGCCTGTTTTGAGTTTCCAGTAGCAGTATGCTTCTTGGAGATAGACTGAGCCTCATCGTGATTTTCTACAAAGCGGTATCAGGCCAAAAAACCACAGGAAAACACATTCTTACCAGTCTGAAGGAAACCTAGCTTTTCTTCCACCATTAGGTGAAACTGAATTAGATCCCTTTTCATCCTTCAATCAACATGCATGCAAGTAACTCAAAATTAATGGGAATATTCATGTGAGTAAAAGCATCCACAGGACTATGTGACTGTACGATTAGACCATATGTGAAAAAAAATGGCTTTGGTAACATGATAGTATATTTACCTGTATATATTTTCACACAGTAAATTCAATCTAGACTGTCATATATGAGCTATAAATTTTATAATAAATTTTATAAAAGCAATGTGATATGAGCACATTTGAAGTGTGTGGACGGTACTTTTAAACATACCTGAAGATTCAAGAAAAAACATAATGTGTACATTTGGGTTTTTCTTAGATATAATAGCCAAAATAAAAATCTGCCTTTAAATTTTGGTATTAGTTGAAACTAAGACAAAAGGCAGAATAGACTTCCTACTGAATACCAATGGAAATGCACAGGCAACAGAAAACAAATGAGTAACAGAATATTACAAAAGCAAAAAGAACATAGTACAAGAAATCACAAGTTGATATCATTTAATACAATGATGACAGAGAAAGGAGTAGGTTTACTAACTTACCCTCATCTTTGCACATGCATCTTGTGTCGACTCCGTGCCTCTTAACTCTTTTACCAGCATAGAACCTAAATACTAAAACAAAAATCCATTAAACTCAATTTAACAAAAATTCCAGAACAGATAAACATCTGCAGAAACACACTTAAAATGCCTAAAAATCCCATAGTGGTAGCAGTCAGCTTAATATATTGCTTTAGAGCTGTTGTTGGATTTTTTTTTTTGCTATGCAGTTCTCTGATAAATCATTTAAACCAGTGTGTTAATCAACCTAGGAAACAGGAATGCACAGCAACAAGCGTATTGAATCAGATGCAGCCCTTTGAAACGACATCTGAACATCTAGCTTACCACCTTAGTCACTCAAACAACAAGCAAATTCTACAGATTCCATCTTAAAAAAGCTATTTGATTAAAAAATGGAGAATCTGCTTTTTTTTTAGCTGCCATCTGTCAAACTCACGTTGCTATCTGTGCAACCATGTGGACGTGAAGGCTAGTGGTGATGTTAACCTCCGTGTACTCAATCTGCAACTGATTTATGTGTGAATATTAGAGCCCAATGTCAGCAGAGAAAATAAATCCAGATTGAAAACTACTTTAAACCATTGTTTCTTCCTAAGAAAAGGCTGACCCTAAACTGTTACCTTGAAGCCTTTACTGATCTGAAAGAGGGCTGGGTAGAGGAAGCAGCGGGGTGCTGGTGCTGGGTCCCGGCTCAATTACCTGAAAGTCACTGTGCTCTCAGAGAAGTCTGCTCATCACCAAGGGTACCCAAGGCAGCGAGTGCCTCACTAGCACATGCCTACCTTCCTCTTCCTCACTACATCACTCGCTGATGTGCAGTTTGAGCCCTCCCACATCTTGACAGCAGGCTCTGCTGCTCTGGATTTGTTTCTCTGGGGTCTGAGTACCTCTCTACACCACGCTGGAATGGCGCTGCTCCTCCAGGGATGGAGCTGGCTGCATCGTCCCTGTCAGTCTCACCTAGCAATGAGCAGTCTTGGGGCTGTGCCAGAGCCATGCTCTGTGTCTGTCCTGTAGATGCTCCAGGTGTGTACACTTGTGGATGCACGTGTGTTCATACAGCTCTGTACAAAAAGGATGCTTCTGTATTTCTATATGGTGTCACATGCAAGTCTGGCTTAACTGTGGAAAGAGGACCACCCTTCACTTTCTCCTCCCCAGACACAGAGGTGTCTCTCTCCACATTCTAACTGCAGCACAACACCGTGGCTTTTCTTAAGTCTTCAGTCTTAAGTGAGCAACACGGGAGCTAAGAAAAATCATGCCACTGGTGAGAACAGGGTAGGAGAGCTGCAGGAGAAGAGAAAGGGCCATGGGCAGGAGTCTCTTTCCAGAGGATGCTCAGCCCACCACCACTGCCTGACCCCTTTCATTCTACTACACTGACTCCCTTTGGAAACAGCCTACATTGACTGAACCAGATAGTGAATGAGCTTAATTTTAAACAAGAACCTATCAAAAATAACCTCAGTTACAGCTGAATGCAAGCTGGAACTGCACAGAAAGTGTACTGGTTCAGCTCTCTGGTCTCTTGACCTAAACTGAGATGTTTTCTCTAAAGCCTTCAATTCACACTGTGAACTGCAGGCATCTCTGACCTGCAAGAAAATGCATAAATATTTCAATGCAGACAGTAGCCAACATGGCAATTAGTGAGAAACACTTTAGAGAGGCATTATAAATGGAAGGGTGAGCAACACCAACACTACAAGCAAAAAGAACGAATGAAGGGCATTCCT